AGAAACTTGAAGTTACATAATAGAAGCTTGCTCTTTAAATGGTTATGGAGATACAGTAGGGGAAGTGAGGAAATCTGGCATAAGATGATAGATGCTTTATATGGGGAAAATAGCTGGATGGTGGGATGAATTTCTCCAGACTAGGCTGGAGTTAGTAATGGTGCAGAAATTGAATTCTGGTTGGATAGTTGGGATGGAGAGGAGAACTTTAGAAGCAGATTTCCAGACCTATATAGTTGTGCTTTGAATAAAGAGGGCTTTATTGCAGATACCAATGCAGATTCAGGCTGGAATGTCACCTTCAGAAGGAATTTGAATGATTGGGATCTGGAAAGTTTCTGTCACCTACTTCAGCAACCGAACCCGTGCTCAATAAGCCAGAACAAAGCAGACAGACTAGCTTGGTTCAACAGCAAGGATAATGTACTTTTAGTCAGAAGTTGTTAAAAGTTGTTATAATATGTTAATGCAACAGAGTGGTCAAGGAGATCCTAATATGCCTTGGAAATGATACGGAGAAACAAGGCACCTACGAAAGCTGGGTGGATAGCAACTAGGAGTGCATGCTTAACTCAGAGCAAATTTACAAAAGAGAGGTTTTCCCCTATGTAGTAGATGCTATCTCGGCAACAAAGAACAAGAAACAGTTGAGCACTTGTTCTTACATTGCAGAGTTTCAAGACATCATTGGGAGGTTTTCTTTAACATCATTGGCATATATTTGGTGATACCTCAGAACATCAAGAGCCTATTGGAGATCTGACAATCTCAGAGAGTAGCAAGAGCTGTAAAACAAATCTGGAGGACTATTCCTATGTGCATAATGTGAACTATATGGCAGGAAAGGAACAAAGCATGTTTTGAGGGGTATAGGTTGCAGCTATCTAGAGTCGAGAACAAATGTATCAAGAATTTGTATTTTTGGTGTCATAGCAGTAGTCAGATAGAATGGATCAGTATCTGGATTTCTTGTATTTCGTAGGGGGGAATATGTAGCATGAATGGTGCAGGAGCTGCAGCTGTGCTTTGTACTTTTTATGTACCATCTCGGTACCATTTTAAAGAAAAACCTTTATTTGTATATATATTAAAAAAACAGCTAGGTGTTATGTACTATTGCTTGATTCCTTGCCTGCCAAATTGTGATATTGTGTGCTAAAATCACGATACTCTTTGTTTGGGTGGGAAACTTCAAGCTCATAGTTATACCTATTGCTTTTAGTAGCATTGTTCTCTTTTTCATGTCTACCTGAAAGTATAACCTGTGGAAGCAATTTTACCCTTCAAATGTGTAACATACCTATGCACAGCTTAGTTGACACATCTCATCTTAAGCTGCACGGTCTGAAAATTCTCAGAACAAATTGCTAATGATATTTTCTCTTCTTTAATTTCAGGGAGCTTTATAGTAATAACATAAGCGGAAGAATTCCAAATGAACTGGGAAACTTGACAGAGTTGGTTAGCTTGGATCTTTACCTGAACAACTTAAATGGTCCAATCCCTGACACACTGGGCAAGCTTCAGAAACTACGCTTCCTGTACGAGTTAGACCTTCTTTTTCCTTTCACGTTCTCTCTCTCTTTTTTCCTTTTGTTTCTTCTTTTGGTTTGGTTATTTTGGTTTTAGTTTCTTTTTTTAATGTTTCAAATCTTTAGCCTATTTTTATGAGTACTAGTTCAATTAGAAATGAGTACCTTCTATGTTAATGTGTGCAAATGGGGTTGTAGTTTCTAATTCTCTATAGCAAAGCTTTATGATAAGGGAGAATTCTGTAACTTTTCCGGTATTTATGTTTTTATTGATGTGTGGAAGCGTTCTGTACAAAAGAATTTGATTTGTGGAAGCAATGAAAATTGCTACTGCTGTCAGCCAAACAAACCTTTTTAGTTTGAGAGTCCAACGGGGAATATATCTGTATGATTCATTCTGTCTTTGCTCTGTAGTGGAGAGTTGGTTGATATACTTGGCAAACTTTGTTCTTGTTTTCCAAATATTTATTGCGGAGTGAAGACCAGGTAATTGGACTGGTCAATAAATTTTGGTTAGCGGTCTATATAGACTCATAGCCGTGCAGCTTAACTGAAAAAGACAATTCTGAGTTACTTCTCATCTTATTAACAAAAAAGCCTTTGGACTTAGATGATTGCTAAATACTGTATGTATGAATGTGATTCTCAACCTGCAAACAATGTCAGCAAGTTTTTTCTAGCATATTGGACTTAATCTTGTAAGATCATCTAATTCTATACGTATTTGTCTTCATTAGTCAATGTTTTTACTCTCTACATGTAGCACATGTACTGAGTAATGAGCTCTATTCACTTTGACAGCCTTCTTTGCCGAGGGTCTATCGGAAACAGCCTCTCTATCTTTATAAGGTAGGGGTAAGGTCTGTGTACACACTACCCTCCCCAGATCCCATTTATGGGATTACACTGGGTTCGTTGTTGTTGTTGTTGTTTACTTACCCTTGATCGACCTTCTTTTTTCTTATACTTTTTTTTCTTTTCTGAATTGAAGGAGGCTGAATAATAACAGTTTGAGTGGACGTATTCCCATGTCTCTAACCACCATTGTTGCACTTCAAGTACTGTAAGTATAAAGTTATTCCCTTATTTATCAAGTGCTGTCTGTTGTCTGTGTTGGTCTACTCTTTTTGGGTAACTAATTTTCATTTCCTTGCAATGCAGTGATCTCTCAAACAATCATTTGACAGGACCAGTTCCAGTCAATGGTTCCTTTTCGCTTTTTACTCCTATTAGGTGTGTCAGAAGCACAAGTTTGTTGTTACTTTCTGTTCCTGAAGTAACAAAAGTGAATATCTAACTATAGAGTACCTATATTTCAGTTTTGTTAATAACCAATTGGAAGTTCCTCCAGCTTCTCCGCCTCCTCCTCTTCCTCCTACGCCCTCATCTTCTTCTTCAGGTTTGTTGAGATTATTTGTGTTTATACTGTTATGAAACTGTGCTACCTCTCCTTTTTCCCTTTTCCAATTTAGTTTTTGTGAAAAGAACCCTTTAGATTATTCACGAGAAGGGGAGCAGGCTATGGGAAGAAAGGAAAGGCCTGGTTGCCTGGGGAAGAGAACAAACAGGATTCCCTTACGAAAGCAGTTACAAATAAAAGCTATTATTACTTTAGGCACTAATAAATATTGTTAGCTTTTTTAGATCAGTTGTACAGGTGTTGGAGTCTTGTTGTAATCTAGCACGCATGACTTCCAAACTAAACTTTTCAACTCTGCATCTTTTTTTCTTTTTTCGGAAATTAGATTTACTGTAAACTCTGAAGTGTGAGTGATAGTGTGTCAAAAGTACCTTATATTATTTAGAATTGCTTGTATATTTAAATTCAGGTCGTACAAATAAAAAGTTAAATCAGCTTATGTATTGGAAACTCGATCATCTTTTCAGTGGGCAACAGTGCAACTGGAGCCATCGCTGGAGGAGTTGCTGCAGGCGCTGCTCTTCTATTTGCAGCTCCTGCAATTTTTCTTGTTTGGTGGCGTCGGAGGAAACCACAAGATCACTTCTTTGATGTTCCTGGTTCGGACACTCAAAATGAAATTTGAGTTAATTGTACTTTCCACTTGATGTGTTCTTACTCAGTTATTATAACTGCTTTTTGCAGCTGAGGAGGATCCAGAAGTTCATCTAGGACAACTCAAGAGGTTTTCCTTGCGTGAAATACAAGTTGCATCAGATAATTTTAGCAACAGAAATATACTTGGTAGAGGTGGATTTGGTAAGGTTTATAAGGGCCGGTTAGCTGATGGCTCTTTAGTTGCAGTGAAAAGACTAAAAGAGGAACGTACTCAAGGTGGGGAGTTACAGTTTCAGACAGAAGTAGAAATGATCAGCATGGCTGTACACCGAAATCTACTTCGTTTAAGGGGCTTTTGCATGACTCCCACTGAGCGCGTGCTTGTTTATCCATACATGGCGAACGGAAGTGTTGCATCACGTTTAAGAGGTATCTCTTGTTTTTTTTTTTAATTTTACTGCACTTGCCTCTAGATTTTGCTCACTTTTAGTCAGGCGAAATGGATTAAACACAGAAAAGGCCAATAGCTAATCAAAATGATAAGCCTGTGGTCTTTGATTTCTCTTTCATAAATTTGTAACAGATTTGAAGAAGTTACTGCAGAAGTAAGCCAATAGCTATTTGATATGTTAGTGGTTGAGTTTTTTATGACTTCTCATGATGGACATGTATATTTAACAAGTCGATGTTGTCTTATGATTTTGCTAGTATTCTATGATTCTATCAACCAATTTCACAAGTGGTGCTATCCTTGATATCTTACTGAATATTAAAGATTTGAGTTGCCGATTAAGATGTAATCTTATGATCACATTTGTAAGTCAATCAAACAATTAGATGTCTTAAAAAAGAGAATAAATTTTATTATTGTATGAAGCTGGAGATAATGATGCCTAATAACTTGGAATGGGAGCCTTGGAGCAACGGTAAAGTTGTCTCCGTGTGACCTATAGGTAACCAGTTCAAGCGGTGGAAGAAACCACTAATGCTCGCAGTAGGGTAGGTTGTCTACATCACATCCCTAGGGGTGCAGCCCTTCCCCGGACCCTGCGTGAACGCGAGATGCCTTGTGCATTGGGCTGCCCTTTTTAAAGTTATATTGACCTGAAAAGATCAATTTTTCTTCTTAAAACTTATTCAAGCTTAAAATAGGAGCCTGTTTCCAGTTCGCGTAATAGCTTGAATTTATTCTCATGGATGATTACATTCTTGTAGAGCGGCCTGAATCTGAGCCCCCACTTGACTGGCCAAAAAGGAAGCGTATTGCACTTGGGTCGGCAAGAGGCCTTGCTTACTTGCATGATCATTGTGATCCTAAGATTATTCATCGTGATGTCAAAGCCGCAAATATCTTATTGGATGAGGAGTTTGAAGCAGTTGTTGGGGATTTTGGGTTAGCTAAACTCATGGACTACAAGGATACTCACGTTACCACTGCTGTACGCGGTACAATTGGGCATATTGCCCCTGAATATTTATCTACTGGTAAATCTTCTGAGAAGACGGATGTGTTTGGCTATGGGGTTATGCTTCTAGAGCTCATAACTGGCCAAAGGGCTTTTGATCTTGCTCGACTTGCGAATGATGATGATGTCATGTTGCTTGATTGGGTAAGCATTTATACTGTCCTATATGCTTTAGTTGTTTTGCTTGATCGACATTTTGCATTTTTTCTGAAAATCTCAAGCCAACTGTCTCTTCTCTCTTATAAGTCAAAGCTTGATATCATTTTCTATTGTGGTGGTTAGTTGTTCAGCACTGCCAGGCTCCCTGAAGATATAGTTAGTTTCAAGAACTACATCAATGCTTATTAATTGTTGCGGTTTTATATTGTGCAAGTAACCTTTGTATTGCAACTTCATTGCAAGTAACACTGTAACTTCATTTTAGTTTTAGATGTTTCAAAAGAAAACCTGTTATTGCTAAAATCACACAAGTATGTAGATTATGATTAGAGCGGATTACTTTCATCATCTTATACTTGCTGGTGCTTCACCGGTTCAGACTACCAAATCATTCCCTCATTTTGTCACTAGTGTAGAAATTTGCACCTCCGTTTGATTTGTACGGAGCTTAATTAGTTAGTTTGCACATCCATGTAATATATCAATTTTTGCCCGTGGATCACACTTTTCACTTCTGAGTGCTTTCTGAAGATTAGAAGAAAAATATAACTGTCTTCATTTTCATTCAAATACGCCAAGCTACCTCCGCAACTGCCAAATTAATGGCACTTGAATTATGTTGTTTTACTAGCTTTTATAGTCAAAGCTTTCACTTGTGAAGTTACATGCACGGCCGAAATTGGCTTATAACAGCATTCCACTGGATATTCAGGTGAAGGGACTTCTGAAGGACAAGAAATATGAAACATTAGTTGATGCAGATCTCCAAGGTAATTACAATGAAGAAGAGGTGGAGCAGCTTATTCAGGTAGCTCTACTCTGCACGCAGAGTACGCCTACAGAACGTCCAAAGATGTCGGAAGTTGTTAGAATGCTTGAAGGCGACGGCCTTGCTGAGAGGTGGGAGGAATGGCAAAAGGAGGAGATGTTCAGGCAAGATTACAACCATGTCCATCAGCCCCATACTGATTGGATTATAGCCGACTCCACTTCAAATCTCCGAGCAGATGAATTGTCGTGGCCAAGATGATCTTTCAGTTATACTGCCATCAGCACATATAGGACTGACTCTTGAGGGAAAATCCTCTTTGTATCTGTAGTTGGTAATTGTCATCTTTGTGCATACCTTTTTCCTTCTTTTCCATTTTTTGTTTCTTTCAGTCAGTTATATTGTATTCGATTGTCAAAATGTCTATAGGTGATTTGGTCATTACAGGTCTGAATATGAAAGTTAGCCGGAATGGCGTTTGTTAAAAGAATAAACACTTGTAAACTTCAAGTTTTCACAATTTCTTTCATGTTCATCGGCAGTTTGTTGACTCTTGTTTTGAGAAGTTATGGCTGATTTTGTAGTATAATATGCCAACGAGCAATGCTCCTCTGGCAAAGTATAAGTTCTGAATCTCCTGCACAATAGTCATACAACACCGTTGTCCATGTCTATCATAATTCATGCATCGGTGTTTGTCTCATCCAAAATGTTAAAAGGGCCATTAAGAATACCTGTTAATTGGGTTGGGCTGACCCGTTTTCAACCCGGTTCAGCCTGTTATCAAATAGGAATTTTTACATTCCTATGCCATGTAGGAAACTATATTACCCTCAATGTTTAAGGTTTGATATAATTACATTTAGTATACCTAATTACTAATTATATATCATTAGTGGTTTTTAAGGGTATTAATTACACTCCTAATTTAATGGTACCGTATATTCCTTCTAATACCACTCCCCCCACGTTTCTCTCTCCAATTCTCACACCTTCACCCACGTTTCCCTCCCACACCCATGATTTCTGTATCAAAATCCCATTATTTCTTCCATAGCCAAGGCACTGTCGGCACCTCTGCAATCTTGTCCCAATGTTTTTGTGCCCGGGGAAGATGAGCACAAGTCTGGTCGATTTGATGGTTATGATTTCGGGTTCCTTCAGTAATACAAGAGGAAAGGAAAAGAGAACAGCAATTAAACCACTGACAACCATTAAAAAGCTTTAAAGCTTTGAATTCAAATTTGGGTTTTCAAAAATCATTTTTTGTTTGAATTGGATGTTGTTGTAAATAATTGGGAATATGATTTAGAGTTTATATCTCAATTTTGAGGGGTTTTGGTGAAGATTAGACTTGGTTTTAGCTGAATTTCATATTGAAACTAGAAGAAGAAGACTCCACTTGATGAGGTAATTACAAACTATAACGGATTGTTCAACTTGTGGAATAGAAAGTGCGACGTAGTTAATCAATCACTGCTAGGAAGTTAACGTGACCGCAAACATAAGCTGGTGAAGTAGATTAGAGATAGAGAAGAGGCAATTATCTAATTGCTAACAAAGAATATCTGACTCAAATCATCATCTAGGAAGAACTTTTCTTTTCAGTTAAAAACTCCTATTCCGACTAACAATATTGTATATGCATACAGAAACCCCCCAAAACGGAAATATCTCCATGTACAGAACAAAAACACACTTTTCCCCAAAATGGTGACAAGTAGCTTTACTGCTGACTTCACTTTCTACCGCTAGTCCCAATTCGAGGCTTGCCTTTAACCTCAGACTCCTGCATGAAATAGCATAAATTAATCGTCTTTTGCCTTTAAACACTAACACTTTCTTTTTCTTTCGTTTGGGGATTGATGAGTATATATGATTCAAACACTAAGAAACACTAAAGAAACCAAGGTTCTGTTGTTCATGGAATATACCTGTGGGAAGTGCAAGTAAATGTATGTTTTTGCAGTTGATGGATTATGATTTTCTGCACCCTTACTCCAATCATAACAAACCTACAAACAAAACCCGATAATCAAATTGGATACAGAAGTAAATTTGCATGCAAGACTTAGAGAATCAGAAGAGTTGGTGACAACAAGACATCAGCAGTTTCAAGAACTAGGGGAAAATACAGAGAAAAAGAAGTTCCATTATGCATTCGTTTTGGCAAGGGAAAAGGCTACACGGGAACTCGGATAAGTATCCTAGGGAGAGGGTGAGTGTGAACTACAAAAGGATACTCATAGTAGAAGTTCTAGTTTCTACTGAATAAAAGTCACCAAAAACATACCGCATATGCATATATTGAGCCATCATGGTTGAAAGCGCTGCAAGGTATAGGCTGGCTGCATCTTGACATTGCCTAAAGAAACACACATATAGAAAACTCATAAAACAAGATGCCAAAGTTGAAGAGGCTGCAAATGTTAAATACAAACCATTCTTGTCTTCTTCTGCTTAAATTATAACATGCTATAAAGAATGAGCCAGTATTAAAACATGCTAGTGTAATTGAAAAGCATGCCAGCGTCCAACTTGATATAGCACTACTTGATTGGAACAGATTTAAGATGTTAGATTTGATGATGATAAGTAGTTATAGTAATGATCGAAAAGTTGTTTGATGAAACTATCACATCCAAGGTTAAAAATTTAATAGTTTATGGATTTGAATCGTTGAAGTTGTCAAAGTTGAATAAGAATATGATTGTGTCAAACATTGACACATTTTAGTATGTTCCAAAATAGAAAGTGTCACATGAAGTGAGGATTAAACTGTAAAAGACAAATTATGGAGTATTAGGATGAAATGGGTTAAGTGGAGCGGAATGGACATTGAGAATTCATATAGCTGCACCAACTAGGTTAGTAATGAGCCATTACTGTAGCACGGAGAATGAACCAGAAAACTCAGATCAGCATAAGTGAGGTTGCAGCTGATAAAATGAGGGTCACAAGCAAACAACTGTCTTTATATTGTATCAAAGCAATAAAAGGTAGCTGAGGACATAACATAATGATTTTTTCATAAATAGAAGCCCCAGAAGTAGTATTTCCTTTGCTTAATGAATGACTGTCTGCTACTATTTATGGGTCACCTGATTATAAATTTGCAAGATAAAAACCGAGAAATCATAGAAACTCCCATAGAAAAACCCAATTTTCAGAAAGGTCATGTCGGCCAAGTAAGATCTTATAGAGCAATCCTCTTTTGCTAGATGAAGAGTTTTCATTTTGTCATAGTAAAAACAAATTAATGAATAAAGAAAATGAAAAGAGATATTTCGTCTTTTATTGTCCAGAAACTAGAATATTCAAAAAAAAAGTAAGATGCCTTATCAAGTTCATGCATTTATATTTATGAGAAGTCCATTCTAAGAAAGACTAATTCTTGTATTCATAAAAGTAAGACAATGAACTTTGCAGAAACTAGCACTTAAAAAGCTCAAGCATACCTTAAGCCTCTGCTTGCTGTCTTTGTCCCAAAAGTTGAAGGCGCCATCAGATCCCGCAGTTGCAAATGTTCCATGAACCTGGGTGAGGCAGCATGTTAGACATGGCAAATGAGTTGAAGTAGCAATATTAGTAGCAGTATTCAGTAGTATAAAGTCTATACATCTTCCCCGAGGACCAACTGTAGGAAGCTAGTCCGCTATTGTATTTATCAATTCTGTGTTCAGTTTGCTTATTGATACAAGCTTGCTATATACTTTCAAGTCACTTGCTCTTACACGTAGCAGGGTGCTCAGGACAGATTATAGGAGATACACTTGAATTTTATAATGATTGACTCAGTTCCACCTAAACTAAGAATACCAGTCTAAAGGTAAGGACAGCTGAGACATCATAAAGAAAAGACATAAGAAAAGACATAAGAGACAGCAACACATCCTCTACCTCCAAATAGATGCAACATAAAATAGAAAGAGCAAAATTTATAGAGAATCAGGATGCTATATATATATATATATATATATATATATAGAGAGAGAGAGAGAGAGAAAGATCTTACAGGATGGAAGTTCAGAGAGTTGACAGAGTAAATTTCATTGCCCTCCCTGTGGCACTTGAATGTGAAATTTTTACTTTGTTGCGAATCATCAAGATGATGCACACCAACCCGTCCTTCAATTGAGCCAACCTAAAATATAGGATGTATAACATTAAAATGAGAAGTACCTAAAGAACCTAGATGCATTTTCATATAATGTATTCACAAATCAAATATGACGAATTTTTCAGACAGCATGCAAGAATAGAAACAAGCTATAACCCATAGGGAAACCTTTCAAGAATGCTTAGGACAGTTAAACCCAAAGACGCCACAAAACTCATTTTCAGAAAATAACTAGAGTAGATCAGTAGAAGTGTCTTTTCTTAAGGAGGAATATTCAGTAGAAGTGTCTTTAAACATCATAACGCATAAGCAAAGGGGAGTTGGTCCTCCTTCCATTATCTCAATAACAACCTTGGATCACCCTGTACCACTTTTTGTCTTTTCCTTTCTTGGATTTTGTTGTGTAAGATCCAAAATGCTTTACAAACAAAACATCTACAAGAGTTCAGTTCACTGTTAATACAAAGCTTCCTTGGTTGCTTCTATCACACTTTTGATAATTCAAGAAAGTCCAATCATTTCCTCCATCCACCCTCTCCCCAAAAACATACCACAGGAAAAAGAGAGAAAAGGAAAAATAAAATTTTATGAGAGAGAGGGCAAAGGAGTTTAAAGAGTTTGGACTGTTTCCATAAGATAGATAGCTACTGAAAAGAAGGACAAAGATAAAGTTCTAGGGCAGATAAAGAGAATACTGCCAGCATCACAAAGAGAAACTTTGCAAAATCAGCTTGCATCACCCAATTGTGAGAAACCCAACCAAGTGATCTACCTCCTCCTTGAGGCAGCACAGGTTGCCTAAAACTTTGAAGAACAGTATGATTTAAGTAATGTAAGACAGTAAGAGTATGTTATCAGTTTTCAAACACTCCACGTAATTCTAGTGTAACAGGAGGTATCTCATGCGCATCAGTCATTTCCAGCGGAAGAAAAAGGTAAGACCACTTGTCATCAAGAAGAAAACACCTTGACTATCTAATTGCAAAGTCTTGGATGAACTTGGCAAACCAAAGGTAAGAACACTCTTCTAGTTTTGTCTCTTTATTATCTTTAGTTTGATATAGAAGGAACTTATATCAGCTCAAACTTATAAGCTCTGAGATCATTCTACTAACTACTCCAATTTGTGGGTTCTTAGGCATTTGTATAAGTTGGGTAAAAAAGAAGAGCGAGCAGCTTAACATAGCATACACAAAAAGGTATTAGATCATGCAACAGAGAAATTACATTATGAAATAGCTACTCACCAAGAAACCTTGTTGATCAGGAAAGGCAGCTAAACACCGAGTCTGATACTTTAAGGGAGAGGTAATCCTCTTGAACTCAGTCTGCAATAATTTTAAGTAACAACTCAACCTCATAGTGTGGTGGCCACAATAATAAGTATAAACTTTTAGCATTTACAAGGGAATGCTCGTAGTATGTGGAAGCTGCAAAATGATTAGTTCTTGGATATCCAACAAAAGAATTTCTGTATGTGTAACTCGGCTTTTCTATTTCTTATCTTGAGAATATGTAGTATCATTAAGTTTTCTCTATCCTTCCCCTTTTTTAACTAGTGAGTAGTGGTAGTAAGAAGAAAAATATGTCGCAATACCTATGAAATTAATGTTCTTAACATTCTAATGTTTATTTTGGTTAACATGCAAGCCTTCAACTTCAATTTTTCGGAACTAAAAATGCTCTCTGAAAAGGCTTTAATAATATGACAATCTTTCATCAAATGTAGGTCTGGATATATTAAGAATTTAGTAAATATTATATTACATTAGTAGTTTTATCACTCTGTCCACAGAGTGACCTAGCACCTACAAAACAATAGTTGGCTGCCAAAATTGTAGAAAGACCAAGACTTGACAAACTAGTCCCTCTCCAGTAAAATCATAAAGCACAGACAGAATAACTGTAGCAATAAACCACAACTGCTGGAGGGTACTTTTAGTGCAGTTAATATCTTTGGAGGGTACTTTTATTGCAGTTAATATCTTCGGATATGGCACACTACACTAACAAATGAATTCAGTGACCTTTTCCAGTTTCTCTTATCCTGATTACAATTTGCAGTGTTGAAGTAGTGGAAGCTGGAACATCTGCCAAGATTGGGAGTGGAAAGATTTATGGCATTGTCGAGCAGTATGTAGGAGGTAAACAAGGCACGCTGACAGTTTATAAAATGAGATGGATTGGTGAAATAAGGGGCCTTTCCACTGCTCAGGCTAGGCATCATAACTTGATCTATTCTGGGAACTTAATTAAGAATTGGTGATGGAACAAAATCCCTAACAAAAGTAGCTTGCTTTAGTTGAACAGCTTTGCATGGCGCTTTTTTTTTGGGGGGGAGGGGGGGGGGGGG